GCAGCGCAGCTCCTGCAGAGAAAGAAGCACTGGAACCCTCACCCTGACCCCTTCCTGGCTCTGTGGCCTTGGGAGACTCTGCTAACCTCCCTGAACCTCATTTTGCTAACAGGTAAAATGGAGATGATAATATCGATCTCTTGCAGTTACTGTATTTAAACAACATAGTGGAAAGAAACTCTTAGCCCATAGCCTAGTACACTGTTATTGCTTGATCTTCATGGCTTTAGCTAACATATACTGAATACTAGCTATGCACCAGACCCTGTGCCAAGCACCCATCTCATCCTTACAGAAGCCCTATGAGGAACAAACAATTATTATTCTCAATTTATAGATAAAGAAACTGAGGCACAGAGAGGTTAAGTGACTTGTCCAAGGTCTCAATGTTAGTTAAATTTCATGCAAGTTGACTTGAGTACCTGAACTCTTAATTATCCTACATGGTCATCTTATAAATGACACAGTGCTGTGGTTATTGATATTAGTATTATCATTATTCTCTGAGATTCTATCTCCTTATCCCTAACGCAGAAATGATGAGAGTTACTGTGAGGATTAAGAAAGCCCAAGTGTGTAAAATATGTAGCCTGGCCCAAGCGAGTGCTCAGGAAATAGGCGCACGCCCCTAGGCCACCCTCCTTACCCTTCCTCCTCTCTCACCCCAGCTTTCTCCTCCTGAGAAGGAAGCACAGGGCCTTGTGCCAATCCCCTGCCAGAGGGAGGCCAGCTGAGCTCTGCCCTCCGAGGGCCTCTTTCCCCAGGTGCTTGGGTGACTGCAGTTCACAGCAAACCTGGCCAACTGCTAGCACCGGGCAGGTGCACACCCTGCTGGGAGCCAGTGATGCAATTGCTAATCAAGGCATCAAGCCTCAGTCCTCACAGAGCCTTAACCCTGGTGGAGTCCATGTTCAGAGTCAGGAGGCTGGGTCGGGAGGCGGCAGGCAACTTTCCCTGAGGGAGGAGTCCAGGAAAGGCCAGGTCTCCGAGGATGCTGTGAAATGTCCACCACCACAAGGAAGCCCCAGCCTCCAGGCCAGAAGCCAGGGCTGCACAGACAGACTGGAGGCCCTTACCCGTACAACTCAGTGGTGCACCCACTCCCAACCCCCACCCCTGTGCACACATACGCACGTCGCATCTGGCACCCTCATCTGAAGGGTCCAGGTAACTGCATTTCGACCTGATTCATTCAGATACATATTGCAATTCTCCCTTAGGCCTAAGAAACACGTCATTCCCAGAAAGACGATGAGAAATGTACTCAATCTCTTCCCCTCAATATTTGATTAAGAGGCTAAATTCGAAGGAGGAATATGGTGGCTTTCACATCCACGTCCCCTCTCCATGTGTCCCACCATGGTGGGCCCAGCTCCTGATCCTTCTCTCCACCCAGGACCTGCCATCCTGGGAGCCCCCTCTTCCCGCCTATTCTGCAGGGTGCCAACTAGAGTGGTGGTGGAAGAGGGTGGACTCACCTGCCCCATGTGCTACCCCAGGCGTCAGCTTCTGCAGTTGTCAAGAGCTCGGACTTGAACCAGGCTTCCGAAATGCTAAGTCTGGCTTTGATATTTAATAACTGTGTCTTCTTACCTCTCGCTCCTCAGTTTTCTCAACTGTAAAATGGAGATAGTAATAATGCCTACCTTAGAGAGTTGTTATGGGGGCGAAATGAGTTAATAAGTGTGAAGTGTTTGGGACAGTCAGGCACATGGCCAGCACACAGAAGTGTCTTAAGATGAAGGATTCGTTTCAGTTTGGGATGAAAAGTTTTCGGAGATGGACAGTGGCGATGGCTGCACAACAATGAATATGTTTCATGTCACTAAACTGTACACTTAAAAAAGGGCCGAAACAGTAAATTTTATGTTATGCGTGTTTTACCACAGTGAAAAAAAATGAAGAATTAATCAATGTGATCACCAATACAATTGCCAATGTGGCTTAAATCCAACAATCTTAGATATACAGACATAGTCTTCTCCTGTCTGAGGCCTCTGGATTTCCATCAGTGTAAGGAGGGGTTGGCCCAGGTCATTGCGAGGATCTCTTTCAGAAGCTTCTATGATTTCTTCATCAGGCAAGATCGTAGATGCAGCCCTCTTCCCCCATCACCCATTAAGAGAACAGAAATTCCCACCAAGCTGTGAGACCAATGGGAATAAAATAGCCCCCAGGAGTGATCAGCTTCCTAGCAGAGGGAGGAACCAGACTTTTGACCTGCCGTCTGGCTGTCTGCACTTTAGAAGGAGCTGAGTGTCTCTGACCTCCTAAAGGTCAAAGTTTGGAAGTCCCCAGTGGGCACCTGGGTGAGCCTCCTAGGCGCTGGCTCTCCTCGGAGCTCACTTGGGGGAGGAAGGCCTGGCAGGTGCCTTCTGTCTTTTTCTCACCCAGAGAGATGGCACATCAGTTTGCATGTCTGAAAAGCTCCCCTCCCACCCCCAGAGGGATGTGTCAGGAGACAGCCAGGTTCACTCTGGACACTGCTCTGCGAACTTCACGTGCTCTGTGGTCAGCAGGCTCAAAGACACCTCTCCTACCTCATGGGAGATTCCATTTTAAATTCAGGGTTGTACCAGTGGCAGCTTCCTGTTAGAATCCAGGCTCAAGGGCCGGCTCTGCCACTTACCAATCCCATGACCTTGGGTGGGTTTTATCTAACGCCTCTGAGATTTACTTTCTCCAGCTGGAACAGTGTCTGCCTCCTAGTGTTGGAAGGACTGACAGATTCCACGCATCAAGTGCGTAGCAAAGAGCCTGGCTCTTGGGAGATACTTACCACAGCCAGAAACAGCTGGCCACTCCCAGGTAATGGAAAAATAGCTTTCTCTCTCCTCTCTTCATTTTTCATGGTGAACGAAAGCAACAAAGGTCTCCATCTCGCCCTTTCCAACTCAGAATTTTTGACAGTTTAAACATTCGAGACCAAATGGAGAGAAAGGGAGAAAGCAATGATGTGCCCACTGGCCAGATGATGTTCCTGAGCGGGCAGGCAAGAATACTCAGCATAGTTAGGAAAACCAGCTGTTTTTACAACCTTTTCAAGTGGCTTTCACAGAGGGCAGCTGATTCTGTGCTAACTGCAAAAGACGTGATCCGCTCTTGAAGGAGGACTTCTGCGTGGCTGTACTGCAGGCTTGGGAGCGGGCGATCAGATTGCAAAATATTCCAGAATTTCATTCATTCGCCTTGGCCTTCCCTTTGGCTCTTAAAATTAAAAAAAAATTACAAATACTGAAAAAAATTTGTCAAAGGGAGTGCTGTGTATATTTCACATGCATATGATATTTTTAAAAGATTATTTCTCCAATTGAGTTCCAGTAGCCAAGCATTGGACAAGCCATGGAGCATCCTGGCCTCACTCCTACTTTCTGGAACTCCACCCTTAACCTCCACCCCCAGTGCCAAGGTGGCCACGCCCACGTGCAGTGCCCCCTTTGCTTTGGAATCTTGTTTCTACTTTGCAGCAGGGTTTCTAGGTTGGGGCAGCTCTAGGAGCTCCTGGGAGGTCCCTCAGGACAGGCTCCAGCTCCCCACTTCTTTATTCTTACCCTTAAGCCAGGCTCCTGTACTTGACTTCTGAAGATAGCACAGCATAGTGGTTATCAAGGCTTGGTGACAGGAGCTGGAAGATACCTATGTGACCTACTCCCAGCTCTGCCACTTACTCATGTGTGACCTTGAAAAGGGACTTCATGCTCTGTGCCTTACTTTCTTCATTTACTTTGTAAGATGGGTAGTGTGATCTAGGACCTGATAGCATTGTGTTCAGGACAGCATGAGAAAACTCAGATTGTATCATGGTGTCTGGCACATACTAAGCACTCAACAAATCTATTGGCTATTATTACCCAATGGGAGACTTTATTTGAAGAAAGAACTTTTTTAAAAAGGTGTAAAACCCACTGATTTTTGTTTTTACTATCCAAAAGATCAGGGAGAGAGTTATTTGGGTCCCATGTGGGCTTTTCTAAGCAAGACTCATGTGCCTGGCGTAGAAGTTTGAGAGCACATGCAAAAGTAAGAGTCTAAGAATTTCTAAATCAAAAGCAGATAAGTAAGTACAAGATCACTGGAAAGTCTGAGGTGAGGGCTGTGGTAATCGTCACATTGCAGGACGCCCCAGGGAGAAGCCTCACCGTTTGCCACCCTAGCCCGTTCTGCACACATTTGAGGCTTCTGGGCAGCCATGGCCCCAGGACCACTCAGGGATTGGTGCTCTTCATCCCTTGCTATCTCCACGCACCTCAGGCGACAGCCCTTTGCTGATGCCCAGCCATCCTTTCTCGTTGCTTCTCCCTCCAGTTCCTTATAAGGCTCTGGGCTTTTTTTCTTTTCCATCTCCTGGTCTAAATCATTCCATGAGCTTTGGAAGGAAAGCCAAGAAGGGCTAGACCTGCTCTGGAAGGAAACCTGGAAGCAATTTATCATTTCAGGTTTCCCCTCATAAAGTCCTTCCTTTCAGTGACAAAGACACAATTGATGGTGTCCTGCTATCCAGTTCACTCACTGGCTCTCTTCAGTGCTGCCCTGGGCAAAAAACTTTCCCAACTCCCCATGCTAATAAATCATGCTAATTACGATCCAAGCTGTCTAACTCAGGCCTCCTCCGACACAGACTGTCTGTCTCGCCCAAGCCGATCCCTGGGCTCACTTTGTTCTAGCTGTCCCTCAGCTAGGCTGGCTGAGGGCCCAGGAAGGAAGGTCTCATTTCCCTGGGAACAAATGTAGTCCCAAAATAATGACTATTGATAGGTGACTTATACCAAAAGCTACTGTCATCTAGATAATTGAGCTAAGTTCTTTCCACACATCATTTCT